CAGGGGTTGCTGAAAGGGAGGTCGTCCACGCAATAGAGATTATCCCAGGGTCTAGCATCCCGAAGGTTAGGATGTATTGGATGTCTCCAGGCGAGCTTGATGAGCTTCGCCGCCAACTCAAGGAACTTGTAAGGGTTGGATCTGACCGAGTGTTTCTCCTTATGGATCTCCGGTCCTATTCGTACCGAAGAAGGAAGGAACACTGAGGATGTGCATTGACTATAGGGGCCTCAATGCCATCACTCTCAAGAACCGAGAGCCCGTACCTCGCATCGACGATTTGCTAGATAGAGTGCAAGGGTGCCGGTACTTCAGTGAGATAGATCTGAAGTCCGGGTACCATCAGATTGCAATCCGGCCGGAGAATCAACACAAAACCGCATTTCAGACCAGGTACGGTCTGTACGAGTTTGTGGTGATGCCTTTCGGCCTTTGCAATGCTCTTGGCACCTTTCAGCACGCTATGATTGGATCTTTCATGACTACTTGGATAAGTTCGTCATCGTGTACCTCGATGACATACTTATTTTTAGTAGGACTGTCGACGAGCACGTTGCGCACTTGGACAAAGTCCTTAGCCTTCTTCGACAACACAAGTTCAAGATCAACGGTGAGACGTGCGAGTTTGGCCGCACGCGTGTCTTGTACTTGGGTCATGAGATCTCTGGAGAGGGATTGAAGCCCGATGACGCGAAGGCGGCCAGCATTCGTGACTGGCCGCGTCCTCAGTCTGTGACAGAGATGAGGTCCTTCTTAGGGATGACAGGCTACTACCGCAATTTTGTTCAGAATTACAGCATAGTGGCCGCCGCTTTGACGGACCTGACGCGCCTTGACACCCCATGGGAGTGGACAGACAGGTGTGAGGCTGCTTTCAGACAACTGAAGCATGTGTTGACATACCATGAGGTGAAGAAGTTGAGGCCGGTAGAGTACATGTCCAAAAGAAGATGCCCTCTCACAAGTTGGCTAAGTCCACCTATGAGAAGGAACTCTATGCGATCTACAAGGCGCTCACCCATTGGAGACACTATCTCCTTGGAAGGTTCTTCTACGTCAAGACTGAACAGCAGACTTTGAAGTGGATGAGAACCCAACCTGTGCTCTCCGACGCTCTGAAGCGTTGGATCGAAATCGTAGAGCAGTATGACTTTGAGCCCGAGTACATCAAGGGCGAGTACAACAAGGTTGCTGATGCGATGTCGCGTAGACCAGATTTCTCTGGTGCGCTGATCACTGAGTTTGGGCTTGCGGACGATGTTACTCGATCTATGGTGGAAGCCTATCGCGAGGACCGGTTTATGTCTGAGATCATACGCAGACTCGAGGCAAAGGACAAAGTGACTTCTGCCGAGTTTGTGTTGGTCAACGGACTGCTGTTTCTTGAGAAGGCAGGGAATAAACGTCTGTGTGTGCCAGATAGGGAGTCTTTGCGTAGTTTATTTTTAGGCGAGTGTCATGATGCCACCGACCATTTTGATTACAAAAAGACAACAGCCAATCTGCTGCAACGGTTCTGGTGGCCCATGATGATGAGAGATGCTCAGCTGTACTTGGAGACTTGTCAGGTCTGTCAGAGGGACAAGCCACGTACTCAGGCTCCTCTTGGGCTCCTGAAGCCCCTTCCGATTCCGGAAAGGCCTGGTGAGAGTTTGTCCATGGACTTCATGGATACGCTAGTCACCAGCAAGAGCGGAATGAGACACATCTTCGTTATCGTGGATAGATTTAGTAAGTACGCTAGGTTAATTGACATGCCGGTGACAGCGAAGACCGAGTACGTAATCAGATTGCTCAAGGAGAACTGGGTCAGGGTTTTTGGTCTGCGTAAGTCAATCGTGAGTGACAGGGATGTCAGATTCACCAGTGAGTTGTGGAAGGCTGCTGCTGCCGAACAGGGAACGCAGTTGCAGATGACTTCTGAGAGGCCAATGGCCAAGCCGAGCAACTGAACCGCGCTGTCCAACCCCTGTTGCGGCATTACATCAAGCCCAATCAGGTAGATTGGGATGAGAAGCTTGCTCTCATCGCCAGCCTGTATAACAACGCTGTGCACAGTGCCACCTGGGTCAGCCCTAACAGCTTACTACTGACTTTCAAACCTAGACTGGCCCTAGAATTTCTATTACCTGAGAACCAGCCGACTGCTGCACCGGGTACATTAGAATTCGCTTATCGATATGAACAGAAGATGCAGCAGGCAGTGGAACAAATGCAGAAAGCACAGGCAGCAATGATAGAGTCCGAAAACAAACACCGCCGCCTGTCTACATTCAGGTAGGGGACAGAGTTTGGGTTAAGTCCTCAGAACTGGGACATGAGCACGGGATATCCCGCAAGCTCATGCCTCAGTACTTTGGACCATGGGAGGTCTTAGATATTGTTGGGACTGATCCGGATGGGCCTTCCTATGTAATCTGGGTCCCTGGTCACCTCCGTACTTGTCCCGTCTTTCACGCCTCCAAGCTTGCACCTTTTAAAGAAACTGACCAGTTTCCTTCTCCTTGCTCAATGCTGCCCCCAACCATGGACGGAGAGGTGGACATTGATGACATCGTGGACCACAGAGAACTGCCAACTCCAAGACCGACGGGCAGGGGACGTCCACTGAAACCAAAGCTGCAGTACTGCGTTCGGTTCTGGCATCACACTGATCCCAAGGAGGACCGATGGTTTACCAGAGAGGAACTCATGCAGACCGCTCCTCAAGCTGTAACTCAATATGAGAAGTCTCTGCGAAAAGGAAAGCGCCAGATTATCGAAGACTGAACTTCTCAGAGGACTATCGAAGTTATGGAGGAGGGAATGCGAGGCCAAGGCCACGATGAGCCCCTTTTTGGGCCGGTCATGCAATACGTCGGCCGCCCTAAGTGAAGGCAGGGTCGACGAGGGCCTGAGGGCCCCTATTTCGGACACCACGCAACTGAGGAAAATTCAGGCAGTTGCGCAGAGCCAGTTGGTTGAGAGCACCCAGGCCCTGTGCTCTCAGCCTTCTCAGTGCTGCTTCAGCTTCAAAAAGTCTACTCATGCAGGGCGTCTGCAACATTAATTTTGTTTGGTCTCGTCGCTTCGGTGAACCACTTGAGCCCCGATCCACTTTCGGTGCGATGAAGCTAGACCAGTGAGCTATAACGCTTTCTTCAAAGGATGGCTGCTTCCAAGCCCACCTCCTGGTTGTGATTGCTCGATCACTTCCTTTCCCACTAAGTGATTCCTTTAGGACCTTAGCGTACGATCTGGGCTGTAGATTTTAAAGGACTCTATCTTAGTCCAATTCAGGCTCGAAGAAAAGAAACGAAAGAGTAAGTGCCATACATAATCGCCCCTCATGGTGATTACAGTTGCTCACTGATCCATTGTCTACTTACTTTCACAAGCTCTCTCTCTGGCGAGTGGCCTCTACCATCATGTATGTTACTGTAATGTACAGTAACATAACAGAATAACGATCATAACAATCTCCTCATGTACCTACGGGTATATCAAATTCTACTTTGTCATAAACAGCGTTGGGTGCTGCTTTTCGCAAATCCCAGGAAACCCCTGATCCTCTTAACATTACACCACTAAATCCCGAATCCATGCAGGCCCAGACCTCAGTGTCCAGTGTGCTCATGCTTTGGTGTGCTCTCAGCCTTCTCAGTGCTGTTTCAGCTTCATATAGTCCACTCATGCAGGTCTAGAGTACTCACGCTGATCGTGGGCGCCCCTGGATTGGCTGGTGGCCGACCAGCCAACTGTTCCAAGCGTCAGCACCTACCGCTCAACAGTCGGTCAGCACCCCGAACAACAAAAAAAGTTTTTTTTTTTTGTTGGGGGGGGGGGGGGGGGGGGGGGGGGTCCATAACCCCCAATAACCCCACGAACACCCCCATTCCTGCCGCCCTCCCTCCCCCCAATCCCCATACACCTCCCCAACACCCACATAACCCCACCCCAAACCCCTATAACCCCTCTATACCCCTTCCCCTAACACCCCAGTACCCCAATAATGCCACCCGAATGAACTTCGGGGAGAGAATGCTGATGATTCCATTTCTGGTTGGGAATGGAAGAGTGAAACTCCACACGACACATCCAAATGAACATCGGGGAGAGGATGCTGAGTATTCTTTCCGCCTTATGCCCTGATCTTCTGCAGCAGCATGCCCCACCGTTCTTCTTTTCAGCCAGTTGTTTTCTTAGGGCTCCCTATGAGCAGAAAGTGTTTTTAATAAATTTTTTAACAATCCAATTAGTTTTTCTTTCTCACACAAGTTATTGATGATTGGATTCTTCTTTTACAATTTGTTTTTATGATTCTCCTCTGCGGTGAGAAGCTACTTGTAATTAGTAAAGCATGCAACAGCTTTCCACCTGTATTACTCCCTAAGAGTCCAGTGACAAGCTGAAGAGTGGACAGTTGATACACCTTTGATAAGAGTCTAACTAACGTTGTGATTCAATGGGTCCAGCAGGGGGGGAGGACAAACATAGGGGTATGTTCACAGTGCTTACAACCTGACCCTAAGCTAGGAGTGCTGTTGGTTCTTGGCTAGTACTGAGAATTTTTGGAAATGTTTTGTTGCTGTTGTGAAGATACAAGAGGACTTAGACAGGGCCCCAACGGTGCTATAGCTTGATACTGTGAAAGCACGAGCCAGGTTCATGCTTTCAGAACATGAACATAGCACCAATAGCGCTTGCACCTCGCCCCCCTATGGATCACAGTTCAGAAACAGATACTACACTTGTTCTTAGCCAAAAGGCTGCACATTACTCAACGTACAGGGGCAATTCATTATGTTACTGCCTAACGCGGCCCAGAAACTCTATAAACCCTGAAAAGATGCCAATGTAGTCCAGTTAGCCAGTTGAAAAAGAGCCTCTCCAATGTCAGTAGTCCCGCTAGGGAAATGACAGCCACAACATGTTAAGGATTGACAATTTGACACCATATGTTCATAGTACTTCATTGCTGCTGTAATTCACTCAGGTTGCCAAAGCTGGATAAGACTTACTGCCAGAAACTTTGAATCGTTGTTGACAGCATTCTGGAGCATCCTCTTCGATCTGACATCAACGTAGATGGGCTGTGTGCCCATCGCCTCGCGCAAATTCTCATCGAGAAGGACCTGTAGGATGATTTCCCTGTCAGATCCCAGACAGAAGACAAATGCTACTTGCAGGTGTTGGTCACCAAACAATCAGAAAGGCAGTCTTGCAGCCTCAAGGCCACACACATACAGTCACTCCACTCATCGACTACCAATAACCTCGATTAGACAGAGGTGATGTCCACAACTTCGGCACAAAACCAACTCAATCTTTCTGGAGAAAAGAGCAGTGCAAACTTGCAAAGCAATTACTTTTCTTAGAATTTATAAAAAAACAGATTCGTGTTTGACTCATCTACACGGGAATGGTTTACAATGTTCACTGGAACAAGTACAAGGATACCATGGTGGTGGTTGAAACAGGGCTGAAAACTCGATTCGGACAGAAAAAGACAATCAAAACTTCAAAAGAGAAAAGCTTTCACAAGTTCACAAAACTTCATAACGGCCGGCTCCGTGTCAACTCTATGGCACAGAAGACGTGGCATTTGGAGTCATACGATGCAGACGACGAGAAAGCCTGGTATTCAGAAAGCCAAACAGTGCTCAATGAGCGTTTCAAATGGATTTTGAAAACCAAACCCACATTAACATGGCTGGAAGGAGTGTGCGCAAGTCTGACCCCCAACCCCTTAAGTGAGAAGCTCATAAAAGCGATGTGACAACATTTCTTGGTGCAATTGTTTTGCGCAGCATTATGTGCGAGGGTTACCATATGAATGGTAATGTGATTGGCACTGCCTGCTATAAAGTGACAAAAAATGTCAAACAGCAAACCTGTCGGAGCCATCCAGAGATCTGACACCAGACAGTCTGGACTGAGTCCAGACATCGGGTCTGACCCAGACCAGAGGTGTCCTGAAAATATGCTGTTATTTCCGTTTCGAACTTTTCCCTCGGATTTGGTTGTGAATTTCAACATGATATTGATGCAAAAGTTGTTTGTATTGAAATGCTGCACAGAATTACTTTTCCAAGTTTTCCGGAATTTTTCTTTTTCAATATCTATTTAGAAACAGTCAAGAAAGAGCCTATTCCGCCATATGAGGTTTTGCACCAACCGTGACGTTCCCTACCTGAATGGCCAGGCCTACCAGGTCACGGTTAAGACAGCCAACAATACACACACTCAGCTTGTGTCAAGGAAAAGTTGTGGGAATTATTTTTCTCAAAATATTTTTCCCCGACACAACACGCCCTACCCTACACCCATGCAAATAAAGAATCACCGAAGTTGGGGCACTGACAATTCTGTGCAGTAGGTTGAACCTCACTGCAGCCTCTGTGTGGACCGACGACAGACAGCTTCGCTGGGCCTGCATCAAACTCTGATTCTTTACAGTGTTGAAACGACCCCAGACAATAACTCCAAGAACCTGGACACACAATGTAACCCTCTGATGCATTGAAGACAAATTTGATCTGAATTCACCCTATGAAACGGTTTTCACCTTTCTGCAGTCACAGATGCGGGCCCTAGAGTTCAATCCCCAGACCTCACTTTGCCCATGTACAGTATCGAGTCGACACCAAAGTGTTTGAGCCCGTGATCTGTGTTTTGGCAATATTTCTCGTCTGTCGTAGGTCTGTGTAGGGGTTCGATCTGTAGGCCTGTCGATTAGGAGTCGCAGCTTTGTAGAGGTCGTAGCTGCTACAGTACCCGAAAGGCCAAGTCCACAACCTTCCGGAAGGTCCGGAAGTGGCCTTTCGAAGTGTCTCACGTTTAGTCAGAGGCAAGTGGGCAAGTGGTGAGCCTTTAGTCAGAGGAAAGTGGGCAAGTGGTGAGCCAACTGCGTTACGCCGGCAGTGCGACTGCATCGAGTTGGCAGTGCAAACCCATGCAGTCAGCGGCACCGGTCCCAGTCAGTCAGAGTCCAGTCAAGCAAGTACCGTGTGGGACTGTGTGCACCAAGGGCCTGGGAAAGGGGCAGACCAACGAGTTACAGAAGTATAAATGAAGAGGCAGCGCCCAGCCGTTCATTCATTCGCTGCGTAAGCCATGCGGTCTGCAGGTTGCCTGAAGACGAAGTGGGCTGAAGAGAGACAACGGAGTCATAGTTAATAGAAGTAGAGCGGCCATAGCCGCTGTAATGGCAGAGGGTCGTGAGTGTGTACGAGTGCGTGTGCGTGGGTGTATTCAGGGTGGTCCAGAGTTGAGCGCGGGTGAACGGTGGTGTTGAACACAGTGTCGAGGGTTGTGCTGTACAGGCGCTGATGCGCCATAGTCTGTTGAAACGAGTTTACATCTGAACTGTGTTCTTGGTTGCCATATCTCTGAGCTTGGTGTGGGCGCTGTGCGCCAGTGTGAATCGCCATCTGTTTGCATGTATGTGAAGTGGAAGTGAAAGCCAGTCTGATTGCACCTAGAAAAGGAAAGCAGAAGAACACAAAACAAAAAAAGAAACGAAGGAAAAGGCTCTCCCTACCAATTAGTGTACGTCCATCGCACGCTCTTAAAGGACTTGGTCAGTCACACGATTGATGAGGGCCAAATCCTTCATGAGTCAAAACGATAAAGTACACATTTACCAAGAGTTTTCCTTACCCCATCTCCTCACTGTACCCTCGCCCCTTCATGCCACATTAAGGCAAGACTTCCACTCCTTTGTAGATGATGCGAAAAGATGACACGAGATCAAGCACCACCACTGGACTGTTTTTTATCATTTCGGAAAGCCGATCAAATAGATTGCATTCAAGTGCGTGAAAATGCAAAGGTTCAACAAAAGGGTAAATGCAGATATTTCATCATTCAGTCAAAGAGGTAGGTACCTTGAGGAAGCTGAGAACAGCATATACATAGAAAGATACCAGCAGAAAATCAATGCCAAAATGTCACCCTGTGAAAAGCATAAACAATAGCTGCCAACATGAAGATGACATTGACATATCTGGAGAACAATGCATGTCAACATGGATCAGAGTGATACACCCCATTGGAATGTGTAGTCCACATACCCTTTGGTCGTCGTGCTTGTCTGATAGATGGACACTGTGTGACGAAGAAGACAGCGTGAAGACAAGGTATGAGAGAGAAGTGAGAGCAAAGTGCATACAGAATACCTTACTCTTCCCAGTCATATCGTTGTATCGACTGCGTCGACTTCCCTTGAGATCATATATCTGGCTTATCCGACGGCCATAAAAGAGGTTCTCCATCACAACAACCATAAGATCAAGACCTAATTTGTTGTTGGCCTTCACAGTCTTGACATGATAAACTCCCAAGATCTTGGCGAGGCATGTACGTTTCCGGTACTTCATTGCGTCTGACAGGTGCGCAAAGTACTTTGGAGCAAATTCTAAGAACGACGTCATCTCCGTTTTAGTGACTTGCTTCACTACAAAGCGATCATCACAAGTCTTCGCGAAATAAACATTGCTTCGCCCGCCGTCAGAGACCCATTTCTTGCACCGACAAAGGGATCGAACAAAATTGACCACACCACCACAGCAGCGTTTCTGTAGAGCATCAAACTGTAATGCATAGTAAACATTGACTTCAAATCTGACTTTTGGAGATGACGCCTCGTCTGTGAAGGTGACCAGAATGGGAGGATCCCTCTGTTGTGATAGCAAACCATCATCATCGAGCATAACCTTCGGAGTACCCACCTCACCTGCCACAGCAGTATCCACACCGTTCTGGCGTGGCAGGCCACCTACTCTGCCACCGTCAGAATTCACTTCACTAGAGAAATGTGAATTCCAAGCAGAACTAGCCGGATCAGAAGCAGGTTGATGTACACTGAATATGTTAACCTCTTTCTTCTCTGCTTCCCTCTGCATGGCATCCAGCTTATTCTGGTAATCTGCAGACATGACCGCATATGCTATGATGCTAGTGGGCTCCTCATCGTATACCACGACCACTGCATCATCATTTCCCTTGCTTCCTGTCCAGAACATCCTTCCTCCACCATGTTGTGCTGTCTGCAATATGAGTGAACCGCCAACAGGTAAGCTTGGGGCCGGACGATCAAAAGGTGGCAGTCTCTCTGATGTCATGCTATCTGATCTCTCCATTTTCGATGGGGAACCTGGCTGAGAGATTGAACCAGATGAGATATGCTGAACAGTTCGTTGGAGCTTTACATTCCCAGGTGTTTGCATTGGTTTGCTGGGGTCTCCTTCATCTGCCCGCACTATTCCTTCTGCACCTTTCAACAACAGATCTTCTCCCGACTTGCAACCATTTCCCTCTGCCCCTTCGGAGGAACTTGCTGCTGTCACAGGAGTCAACTCAACACTGTCTTTCTCGGTGACACATGGCAGAGCCAGTGTCTCTTGGGCCGGCATGGGAGGTGACTTAGAAATTGCATGCACAAGCCCACTTACAGGAGACTCTTCAACTCCATCCCGCGGTTGACCGTCTAGCAGGACGCTCGTCCCAACTTCTAGAGGCCGCGGCATAACTGATACAGCAGCCAGGCTATCAGGTGCCGAAACCCCCTTCACTACAACAACAGACGTTTCATCTCTCACACTCTCACCTGACTCATTCGCTCCTGTTCTTGCCACTGTCGTTCTGGTCTGCCCATGAACTTCTGGGATGCTATGACCCAACGGAAAACTGACTGTAGATTGCGCCTGGGAACTTGTGAGAATAAGTTCGCGCTTGCCCTCCACGTTCTGAGCATGCACTTGCATGTCCCCCATCCACCCATCCTCAAGAGATTTAGGAATATCAGCTAAAGTGGCACCCTCCAGTATTGATCGTTTCCCACGACTTAACCTCCCCTCGTCCACGAGCTGCGTTGGCATCGACCCCTCCTGGGGAGCATCAGCACTCCCCTCATCACCATCTTTTGCCAGACTATGTCTTTGATTTCCCATCTGCTCCTCCCTCTCTGCACTCTCTCTTGTCAAATCTCTACACTCATGCCAATTCCCATCCATTTCAGAGTGATCAGTCCTACCCTGTTCACTGCTCTCTCCCTGACTGAGCCTTTGCTCCACGTCAACCACATCACCAGCATTTGCATTAGCATTGCTCTCCCTTGCCGTAGCAACCGTCGCTTCCAAGGACACATTAGTTGACATTGAATTCTCTGAAGCGGTAGTCCAATTCACAGCTGGGTTGGCATCAGGAGCCGCTGAGATAGTCACAAGACTCGCACTATGCTTAATCCCAGCACTCACATCCTGAGGAGCCAAAATTGTTGCCACACTGGCACTATGTTTCATCCCTGGGTTCACATCCACCCGCAGCTCCTTGTCAAGAGCCCTAGAACTGGCAGGCAGGTCCGAGGCATTTCTTATCAATCTCTTGGCACCAACATTATCCGATTCGCCTCCAGCATAGACATCCCCATGATGGCGAGAGTCTGCAAGGACTTCTCCTCTCGCATCCGAATTGGACTCCATTGCAGAGTCAGAGCTCACTCTTGGCACTAATGGATTTTTATCTACAGGTGCTGTACTGTGCTGGATGGGAATGACACCAGCTGATGGATTCTTCAACACATTCAACAATGGATCGTCTTTCACAACAGGCAACATTAGCAAGGCTGGTATCTCCTGGAATCTCTTTATCCCCAGATATCCACACATATGAAACAGACGCAAGTCCCACTTTGCAGCTAGGGTAACAAGGTGCCGCCTCAATCTGTTCAGTTCCAGGATATCAATCTTCTGTTCGTATGCTGTGGTATCCCCCATCAAAAACGGGCTAATCTCCTTCAGCTTTGCCTGCACAGGATGGAGAGAGCAATGACCCATAGAGCATTAGTATGAGATATATCGAGTTTTCTGAGTATTGCTGCTTGCTGTCTTGAGAGAGATTGCTGTTTGCTTGCACGGGCCTAAGTCCCTATGTTATGATTGCTGAGCTGAGTGCTGCGTTCCCGCATGTGTCTTCCGTGTCCTGGGAAGTGTTAGATTAGAAATAAGGGAACTACAGGGATAGAGATCATATGACTGAAATGGGAACTGGAAGTACTTCTCAGAAGTCCAGGACTGCCCAGAACACAGGTAGAATTTGGCAGGTACTAGTAGAGATTTTCGAGCAATTACCCAACTGAGGTCCGATAGGCTTAGAAGAGCCCAGTAGCTTCCAAAAAGGTCACGAGTAGTCAGGCCCGTACAAAGTTAGCTTGCAGAGTTGATTCAGGCCCTGAAGTACGATGGTAGGCTGCAATGGTGTTCCCGTCAAAAGGCAGGAACTTCTAGTAAGCCTAGCACACTGGACAAGGCAGTAATACCGCAGCTGAGGGAGGCTGGAGTCCGAGTTGCAGGAGTATATCATTTGGCAGCAATGAGTGATGCACCACATCACTCGACAGTCATGCTGCTGCTCCACCCACAGCTCCAGCTGAGTGGTGGAGCTGGAGGGCGGACGTTCAGGTAGATGAGGTCCACCATAGCCTATGATAACCTCATTGCCACTTCCTGTGTGGGCACCTGCTGGTCTTGGACTTCATCAGAGAGCGTGGCTATGGCGGAATGTGATGGGAGAGGCGCAGTAGTAGTAATTGCGTTGTCCTTTGAACATCCCATGGATGAACCGCCAGAGCGGAATATGTAGCCGAGAGGAGAAATGAGGTTGACACTGAAAGGAGGGCTCTTCTAGAACTGGCATGCTCAGACATGATTCCGGTTCATTCATTCATTCATTTGTAGCATACTTGCAACCGCACGAGCCGCACATTCGTGCGGAGTTCCGTGCGGGGGGTGCCTGTGTGGAATCGTGCAGGTTTTTTATTTTTATTATTATTATTTTACCTTTTTGGGGAGGGGGAACTGGGCGGTGCACGACGGGAAGATGGGGATATGGCGAGGAGAGGGGGCTATGGAGAGGAGGAGGAGGACATGGATGAGGGAGACGACGAGGATAGCGAGGACGACGAGGAGGAGTTGAGATTGGGGAGGAGAAGAGATGGACGGAGGGAAAAGAGGAAGGGCAGGAGGAGGAGGATGAGTGGTAGGCGGAGAAGACATGGACGGTGAGGAAGGGGAGGACACGAGAAAGGGAAGGAAACGAGGAGGCATGGAAGATGAGGAAGTACGAGGAGGATGAGGAAGGGCAGGAGGAGGACGACGAACAGGAGGAGGAGGAGACGAAAAGGAGAAGGGAGGAGGAGACGAAAAGGACAAGGGAGGAGGAGACATGGAGGATGAGAGGAAGGGGAGGAGGAGCATGGTGAGGCAGTACTCCTGTAAAAAAAAATTCATCTCGATTATAATTTTGGCGGGGGCACTCAAACGCACCATTTCGACCCCGGCCTTTTTTTTCCCCTGAGGGGACTGATGGGTCGTTCCCCGCACGGGATCGGTTGGGCTCGTGCGCCGCACGTAGGGAACCGCCCGGCAGCCTGGCCTTCGTCCAGTGGGCGGCCCGGCCAGTTGGGTCACCCGATTGGGCGCCGGGCGGGCCCAGTGCAATTTCGCACGCGGTGGGGGGGAGGCTTTTTTCAGCCAGTGGAAGCCTCCCCAGCCGCCTAGCGCTTGAATTTTTTTTTTTAATGACTTTCAGCCACTTTCGAATTTTTTAGGGCTACGATCCCGCATTCAAATTCGAACGGGGGATTGTCCTTCCCACCGTCGACCTGCCCGTGGCCCGTCGTCATCGAACTGCCCCTGCCCCGTCCTCATTCAGGTGCCCTCCACGCGGAGCCGACCTCCTCCTCGCGCGGAGCTCGCATCGTGCTCTCTGTCGTCGAGCTGCCACAAAGTCGTCGACCTTCCCATCATCGAGGTGCCGACCTCCACCTCCTCCTCGTGTGGAGCTCCCATCGCGCCGCTCGTCATCGACCTGCCACGTAGTCCTCTATCTACCCATGGTCGAGGTGCCAACCTCCACCTCCTCCTCGAGTGCAGCCAGCCTCCTCCTCCTCTCGTCTTCTTCTTCTTCACTCCTCCTCCTCATCCTCTTCCTCCTCCTCCTCTCCTCTCCTTATTCTTCTCTCCTCCTCCTCCTCTCCTCTTCTTCTTCTCTCCTCCTCATTTCATCTTCTTTTCTCTCCTCCTCCTCATTTCGTCTTCTTTTCTCTCCTCCTCCTCCTCTCGTCTTCGTCTTCTTCTCTCCTCCTCCTCATTTCGTCTTCTTGTTTCCCCCCCTCCTCCTCCATCAGCGTTATTTTTCTTTTCCCTCGTCATCACCAGGCACAACCGGCACCTCCTCCTCCTCCTCCTCTGGTCTTCTTCTCCTCCTCTCCTCCTCTTCCTCCTCATTTCGTCTTTTCTCTCCTCCTCTCGTCTTCTTCTTCTTCTCTCCTCCTCTCATCTTCATCTTCTTCACTCCTCTTGCCCCTCATTTCTTCTTCTCTTTTCCCTTCCTCCTCCTCCTCTCGCCTTCTTCTTCTCCTCTCTTCTTCCTCCTCATTTCGTCTTCTTCTCTTCTCTCCTCCTCCCCCCCCTCCTCCTCACATCTTCTTTTTCTCTCCTCCTCCTCTCGTCTTTTTCTTCTTTGCTCCTCTTCCTCATTGTCCTCATTTCATCTTCTTTTTCTCTCTCCTCCTCCTCCTCCTCCTCTCTTCTTCTTCTCTCCTCCTCATTTCATCTTCTTCTTTTCTCTCTTCCTCCTCGTCTTCTTCTTTTTCTCTACTCCTCCTCCTCTCGTCTTCTTCTTCTTCGCTCCTCTTCCTCATCGTCCTCATTTCGTCTTCTTTTCTCTCTCCTCCTCATTTCGTCGACTTCTTTTCTCTCATCATCCTCTCGTCTTCTTCTTCTTCTCTCTTCCTCCTCTTCCTCGTTTCGTCTTCTTGTTTTCCCTCCTCCTCCTCCATCTCTCGTCTTCTTCTTTTTCTCTACTACTCTCTTCTTCTTCTTCTTCTTCGTTCCTCTTCCTCATCGTCCTCATTTCGTCTTCTTTTTTTCTCTCCTCCTCCTCCTCCTCCTCCTCTCTTGTTCTTCTCCTCCCTATTTCGTCTTCTTTTCTCTTCCTCCTCCTCTCTTCTTCTTCTTCTCTCCTCCTCTTCCTAATTTCGCCTTCTTGTTTTCCCTCCTCCTCCTCCATCGACATTTTTTTCTCCCCTCGTCATTGCCAGACAGTCGGCAGCTCCTCCTCCTCCTCCTCCTCTCGTCTTTTTCTTTTTCTCCTCCTCCTCCACCTCCTCTTGCCGTCTTCTTCTTCACTCCTCTTCTTCATCCTCCTCATTTCACCTTCTTCTCTCCTCCTTTTCCTCATTTCGTCTTCTTGTTTTCCCTCCTCCTCCTCCATCGGCCTTTTTTTTTTTTTTTCCTCGTCATCATCAGACAATCGGCAGCTCCTCCTCCTCCTCCTCCTCCTCCTTTTCCGCCTCCTCTTCCTCCTCTTCCACCTCATTTCGTCTTCTTCTCTTCTCTTCTCTCCTCCTCCAGCAGCCTTTTTTTTTTTCTCGTCATCGCCATACAGAACTGGCAGCTCCTCCCCCTCCTCCTCGTCCTTGTTCTTCTCTCCTCCTCCTCCTCTGCCTCCTAATCTTGTCTTTTTTTTTTAAAGTCTGCTTCTTTCTCCTACTCCTTTCCTCCTCCTCCCTCCCCTCCTCCTCCTCTCGTCTTCTTCTTTTTCTTGCTCCTCATCGTCCTCCTCCTCCACCATATCCTACTGCCCGCCATCTCCCATTCCTCTTTTTTTTTTTCTGCTCGAACAATAGAAGGGAAGCGGGCAGACTGCAGTTCTTCTCTTCTCCCCTTCTCCTCCTCCTCCTCCTCCTCCTCTCTTCTTCTACTTCTTCTCTCCTCCACCAACTTTCGACTTCTCCTTCTCTCCTCCTCGTCCTCCTTCATTGTCCTCTTATTATTATTTTCTTTTTTCGTCATCCCCATACACCACCTGCAGGTCCTCCTCCTCTAACCCCTCCTCTCAGCGAACTGGCTGCTGCAAACACACCCTTTTACGGTTTTACCCCTTGACAACCCCCCCCCTCCCCCAACAGACATGGATCATTCGTCTTTGCATTCTGCAACCCACTACCAACTTACTTGATTCACTGCTTCAATCCATTGTTTGCTGATGTGATCCAACACTAGCAATACGGACTCCATTCTATATTGCGAGGCACAGGGCCTCCATATGCCCTACAGGGCCTATTTCCAACACAGTCGGTGCCCTAACGGAAGGCAGGCACGACCGAGGCCTACAGGCCATTTTGGGGTCACCACGCAACTGCGGAAATTCAGGCAGTTGCGCAGCGCCAGTTGGTTGGAAGCGCCCAGACCCAGGCTGCCTTTCGTTGTATGTAACTGAGGCAGGCCTTGGGCCGGATACACAAGGTGGACCGAACAAAGGCTGAGGGCAGTTGGGTGCTGGCAACCACCAAAGGCCCTGGGCCTGTTTACTTCGGACTGAGGCTGCGCCTCCTGGGGACTACCGGAAGCTTTTGGGCCAGGGCCCAGTACCACATTACTGCACGCAGCAGCAGGCCACTTCGATACAGGGAAGGGCCTGCCTACACATTGGGCATTCGGGCACACTGGCTGCATGCTGCGAAAGCGCTGCTGCGCTATCGCTGGCCAGCGCTCACGCGCTCACGGGCGAGCTGGGAGGGGCAGGCAGCCATAGCCGGGCTGCGCTGATGTATGCTAGATGGGGCGTATGGTGGTCCTTGGGTGCATGTGGCATCTGTGTGTTGGGGATCAAGGCTGTGAGTGATACGAAAGACATACCTGGTGCTTGAGGCAACGACATTGACCGAGATCTGCTCGTACTTTGGGGAGCTGTTGACGTCATCGGCGGCATTGTAGATTAAACTAGATAGGATCTGCCATCT